TTATGCACAGTAGAATTGTAACTGTAAATGGGCTGATTCATCAATGTCATGCTCATAACTGTGCCTGAACTACAACAGGGAACTGCTGCTTTTTCTTTCCTTATCCTTACTATCGTCATTTTCCTCTACTTCTTTTGTATGTTTGTCACACTCTTGTGACCCGTTATTTCCGGGGTGCCTTGATAGTCGAAGCAGACTTTGTGCTGTTGAAGTTAGAGAGGTGAGTAAATTAAGTCTGATTCACTCATATGACCTTTTGCAGTTGCGAGCGCCGTAAAACCTCTACTAAAACAAAGCAAAAGATTACTTTTTCTCCTGAACACAGCGCCCGTGTGACCGTGTGTCTGTTAGTCCGTTTGTCCGTTTGTCCGTTTGTCCGTTAGTCTGTTTGTCCGTTTGCCGGTATTCCAACCAGTCACTCTATCCACCCCCTGCTTTTTAGCCTGTCTATCTTCCTTCATTGTAGCAATCTGGCGACTAGCTATGTCTACCTGTCTGTCTTTCAGCTTCTTTCTTTTTGGATTTTAGTTAAAAATAAATTGAACCGGAGTCTGTGGTAGATCGATAGAGATCGTACATAACAAGATTGTACACTCGGCCTAAAAGGTATCCGCGGAAGTTTCAAGATGGCGCGGCAGTCTTTGTTTTGAAGCTCTCTTTCGTTTCTCCAGAAGAAGAATAGGAATAGCACAGTTTGTTAGTTTCACTTTTTGTGTTTTTCACACCAGTAGGGTAGCTCTGTTCGAAAAGTCCGCACTTTCTCGAAGAGGGCGCCACCGAATTTTGAGGACACTTTTTTAATTGGCTCAAAGAGAGGAGTGAACTACCTTGTTATACACGGTCTTTGCTACCTGTCAGGCGCCTCACCACCTCACACAGAAAACCTGATTTGGTCTCCCGTGTTGGGTGAACTTCTGTCAAGAACGCCGTCTATCGATCTCTGTGCTGAGACATTGTATCCCTCTCAGCCCGGGTTGGCCCTGACAGGAAGGGTACTCAATGACAGAAATATTGGGATGGTGTGGGCCTCAAAACAACTACATTAGAAGAAATAAAAAGGGAAAAATAGGAGAAATTGTTTGGCCTGTCTTCACCTACGGACCCAGGACGTGGGTGGCTGGCGGATGCTCTGGTGTGGTTTGTTTCTTCTTTCTTGTCAAACATCTATCGTCTTTATTTCTCCTACTTCTTATTTGTGTTTGTTACTCTCTTGTATCACCTCTAATCTTCGACACTTATAGGACCTTATCGTGTTGCAAGTGCCGTACAACTCTTATTAAGACATACAACAAAGACCCAGGGTTTAGACCGGACAAGGGGTTGGACGCTAAACCTGACGGAGAGTTAGATATATCTAGGTCGCATTAGTAAATCGGTCGCATTTAAGCACAAGGGGGCTATCCCGAAAAATGCTGTTTTGAGAAAATCGAAGGTGAAGTTTTTGCCCCTTGTTCAGTTTCTGTAAAAAAACAAGGAGAGTTTTCTCTATAACCAAACAAATATACGCACCAATGAAACCAAACTTCTCCTATAGGTAGGGAAATCCCCGACATCTGGGTTAGCCCGCTTGTCCTTATGGAGCTACCAATTTAAATCTGGGAACAGTGTATTGGTGGTGGGGTGGGCATACATCTAACTGTCGAACATTAGTTTGTGAACTGGATTAAAAAACACGAAACATAGACCGACATACCTGTTTAACGCTGTCGTTCCAATATGTCTGTTTTTGACATCTGCCGTGTACCTATGTATATCTAGGTGTGACCGAGAATATATCCTTAACAATGATATCAACGATGTTATGTTCGACTCTAGTCAAATGTCTGAAAAATGGTAAAAAATCAAAACAAACAAAAACATAGCAAAACAAAATAAAAAAGCACAGCAACATCAACCTCGTAATCTATTTCTCATTATCTATCATGATTGCTCAACATTTTGAATAGAGTTTTTTTAAAATATATTATTGTATCACCAATTACAATTGGTCCCTCTATATAAGGACAAGCGGACTAAACCACATTTCGGAGGTTTCCAGAAATCTTGACCTACACCAACAGTGGGAATTTCCCTACCTATAGGAGAATTTTGGTTTCATTGGTGTGTATATTTGTTTGGTTATAAAGAAAACTCTCCTTGTTTTTTTAAAGAAACTGAACAAAGGGCAAAAACTTTACCTTCGATTTTTTCAAAACAGCATTTTTTTTTCGGGATAGCCCCCTTGTGCTTAAAAGTGACCAAATATGGTTGTGATATTATTTAATTCAATTTGAGACAAAAAGTGTTTAACCTATTTTGTCAGGTGCACGGATATATTCGGACACCAGCGATATGCTGGTCAAAGATGAGTGTCATCCTGACGTCTATACAGACCTCTAGCCTGATACGGGGTGCCCATTGGGGGATCGGGTCGGGTCGGGTCGGTTTACTAGCCAGATTGATTGTGCAAAGCGGCTATCGTGGCACAAGCCGATCGCGCCCGACTCGTCGCCAAATAAAAAATGCGTTTGCCGTTTGTTTTCAGGTGACGAGTGGGGCTATCTTCCTCGACCCGACCCGACCCGACCCGACCCGACCCGACCCGATCCCATCCGCAATGGTCACCCCACTCCCTATTGCAGTTGTCCGACCATATCAAAGCCTCCTCTAGAGATCACTGAATGCCTAGTTACGTCTGGGTTAACTGAAGAAACTAGTTCGTTCTTCAAACATGAACATCCTGCCCTAACATGGAAAGAATCGAACCCACAGCCGTTCAGTTGATGGTCCAACTCCTTTAACGTCCTTAGACTGTGCATCCCTTTCTTTGTCAGACCTTTAGAGTTAAAGTCCCAACACATGCAACTTGTTTTATTAAGCAAAAATCTGGGAAAAGGAGGAGCCTTTTTTCTCGCTGAATTAACACCAGGTAGACAGACGTTGCGCAAAAATCTGGGAAAACACACACGCGCGCGCCCGCCACCCTCCAGCCACCCACCCCGAGTTGCCCTGACATCTTATGTCAACACTTGTCATTGTCGGAACTACTTTCCCCATGCCAAAGGAAGCCGCCGCGCATTAACATCCTAAATAGACTAAGCACACACGAGCAGACGTCTTCTTTTTCTTCCCCCCTTCACCCGCCAATTGGATTTAGCAATAGACGGCGATGAAATAACATTCAGCCTTTTTCCCTCGTCCGTCGTTGTTAAAACAAATCAAACACAGGTACGCGGGCGAAACAGGGAACGTTTTCCCGTCACTTCAAATTTACAGTCGTTTCCAATTTGCTATGAAAATTGAAACGTCTGGATAAGAAGAGGTGTGTAAACAAGGAGCTTGCATTTTAAATACCTCAATTTTGTAATACGCCCCTCCACCACGCGAAATAATATGCAGTGGAGGGGAACTTTAAAGGCACATTCGAAGTGATCGATATTTGCTTTATTAATCGACGGCATTAAGAACATACTCAACGGGGATTTCTATTGCTTATGCGCGTGATGAGAGACGCAAAACAGCGTGGGGCAAAAGAGAGGTCCATAAAAGAGAGAGAAAAATCAAAACAAAAAAGGTGGAACAAAAAAAAAGAAACAAAGAAGATTTTTGAACAAAAGAAATAAAGGTGTAGAGGTGGGAAGTTCCGTTCTAGCGAACATTTCGAT